CTCACTGCCAGGAAAGGGTTAATTAATCACCCAAAAGGGTAATTAATTAGCAGCAGGGAAATTAATTAGCCAGGGGAATGGTTAATCAGGGGAGGGACTCATTAAGGGGCAGGAAAAATCGTTAATGAGCAAAAGGGGATCATTAATGAGCTCCAGGAAAGAGCCAATCAATCAATCAATCAATCAACGAACAAATTAATTAATTAGGGCAGCAGAGCACAGCCAGTGAGGAGCACAGCAGCTCATTAAGCTAATTAGGGCACTAATTAACCGTAGTAGGCGATGGCGTTGCTCTCGAAGACGCAGAATCCGTCGTCGCCCTCGAAGGCCGGGACCTGCGGGGAGAAAACCCAGACCTCAAAAATTCCCAAAAACCCCCAAAACATCCCCAAAACATCCAGAAAATACTCCCAGAAACTCCAAAATCACCAAAAATCCAAAAAAAACCCCACAAAAATCCAAAAAATCCCCCAAGAAATACCCCCCAAAACCCCAAACCTCAAAAAAAATCCCAAAAATCCTCAGAACATCCCCAAAACCCTAAAACATCCAGAAAATACTCCTAAAAACTCCAAAATCACCAAAAATCCCAAAAAACCACCCCCAAAAACCCAAAAAATACCCCCCAAAACCCCAAACCTCAAAAAAATCCCAAAAATCCCCAGAACATCCCCAAAAACCTAAAACATCCAGAAAATACTCCCAGAAACTCCAAAATCACCAAAAATCCCAAAAAACCCCACAAAAATCCCCAAAAAATCCCCCAAGAAATCCCCCCCCAAAAAAAAACCCCGAAGCTCAAAAAAAGCCCAAAAATACCCCAAAACCACCAAAAAACCCCACAAAACTTCCAATTCTGAGCCAAACGCCCAAATCCCCACAGTTTGGGAGTTTTTTGGGATTTTTGAGTTTTTTAGGGTTTCTTTTTTTTGATTTTTGGGATTTTTTTGGCAATTCTGGGATTGTTCAGGCTCAGATTGACCTTCCCGAGTGGGAACTTCTGCAGGAACTGGGGAGCCTGAACCCCCCAAACCCCAGGCCCCAGATCTTGGGATTTTTGAGTTTTTTGGGATTTTTTGGGGGTTTTTGGGATTTTTTGAGGGTTTTTTTGGGAATGTTGGGATTGTTCAGGCTCAGACTGACCTTTCCAAGTGGGAACTTCTGCAGGAACTTTGGGGTCTGAACCCCCTAAACCCCAGGCCCCAAATCCCAAACCCCAGCCCCTGAATGGCCACAGTTTTGGGTTTTTTTGGGTTTTTGGGACTTTTTGAGGGTTTTTTTGGGAACATTGGGATTGTTTAGGCTCAGACTGACCTTCCCGAGTGGGAACTTCTGCAGGAACTGCAGGGTCTGAACCCCCCAAACCCCAGATCTTGGGATTTTTGAGTTTTTTGGGATTTTTTTGGGATTTTTTGGGAATGTTGGGATTGTTCAGGCTCAGACTGACCTTTCCAAGCGGGAACTTCTGCAGGAACTGCAGGGCCTGAACCCCCCCCAAACCCCAGGCCCCAGATCTTGGGATTTTTGATTTTTTTGGGATTTTTTTGGGATTTTTTGGGAATGTTGGGATTGTTCAGGCTCAGACTGACCTTCCCGAGCGGGAACTTCTGCAGGAACTGCAGGGTCTGAACCCCCCCAAACCCCAGGCCCCAGATCTTGGGATTTTTGATTTTTTTGGGATTTTTTTTGGGTTTTTTTGGGATTTTTTGGGAACGTTGGGATTGTTCAGGCTCAGACTGACCTTCCCGAGCGGGAACTTCTGCAGGAACTGGGGGCTGCGGTTGGTGTGGCCGAAGCGGAAGAGCGGCGGCGCCGAGAGCACGCGCAGCCGCGCGCCCGAGTACTGCGCCGCGATCAGCGCCTTGAAGGCGCGCCAGTTCTCGGGGTACGTGTACAGCGTCTGCGGG